CAGTGACCTGGTACTTACGGTATTCCAGACAAGTCGAGTTGCCTTTTCCGCCTTCCCCTCTCACCAAAAAAAAAACAAAATTTCTTTAATTTTTTCCCATAAAAAAATTCTTATATTTTACAACGAAAATTGTGTTGTAAAATTCTTCTAACATCCCCACACTGTGCAAAAAAAGCAGATAATAATTAGGATTCGGGGCCAATATTTTTTCACCTGGTTTTTGCAGCACAGGCTGCAGGGAACAGTTTTATTAGACATCTGCAAACAAAAAGTACTGCTTGGTCCCCCCAAAGGGCTCCACACACGAACAAGGTAATACTAGGGGCAAGTGGCAATATCGGCAACACTATCACATGAGAAACTGACTACACATTGTCATTGAGACAAAACAGAAAAACAAAGGGATAAATATGAGTGCTGGGCAAAAAAATTAGTCACAGTAACATATTAGAAACCCCTTCTTAAAAAAAATTTGCAATCCCTCCAAATCAGGGCAACAGATAGACAATGGTTAATATTGGCAGCAAGAGGGACAACTGTATGCAATGAGCAGGCACCAAGCTGACAATTTATTAGTAACAAGCATGTACCATCTATTTTCTCCAACTGGAAGTTAACGATCAACATAGCAGCAATGCAGTTAGGAGGGGTCCAAGGTTACATGGTTCCTCTATGTATAAAAAAAAGGAAAAAAGGATGTGTAGGCGCTATCCCCAATAAAACATAAAGTGTCATCACCAATTTCTTAAAAAATGATAGTCCTTATATAAATAAAGTCCAACGTTAACACGTCCACCGCCACACCTTTTCCTGGTTGTCAGAAACGCACTGCGCCGATCCCGAGGGGGTTTGTCAGTTGAATTTGATACACGGCTGTGTTACAATCATAGCCCGATCTCAGACACAATTATATGTGTAATTCCTGTGTATAATGCTTTTCACAATAAAATACTACAACTATAGTTTTTTCTCCTTTGCCGCTTATTTTGTTATGTTGTTTTCTGGAGGAATAAATCAAGGAAATAATGGAGACCTGTGGAGGAGCTACAATAGAATTGGAGATACTGACTTGGAGGATGCAATTTAACGCCCAGCGCTATCTGATGACCTTTAGAATAGAGGTCACTAGATACCTCTTGGTGAGTGCGCACTTCTCGCAGAGCGTGGGGAATTGTGGTGGCACATTTGTGAGATTTGGCAATACAAGCACAGAAGATTATAATGCGTGGTGTTATGTTGGACTTTATTTATACAAGGGTTTATCATTTTCTAAGAAATTGGTGATGACATTTATGTTTTATTGGGATAGCGCCTTACACATCCTTCGTTTTTTTGTTTTAGAGTGTTTTATACAGTATGTCACTAAAGAGGGTAGCTTCACCTTATATATTGATTTGATTTGTGGCAGCAGGTGCCTTTATATATCACATTTGTCCATGAGACCAAGATGGTTTCTTTATGTAATATCTGGGTCACTGGGGAACTATCCAATTTTGCTGCTCTCCCCTCTCCCTCCGCCCCCCCCGCCCCCCCCCCCCATGTGCTTCTGGCAGCCATCTTTGGGTCAAGCATAGCCTATTTATGGCCCTGATTCCCAGGCCTGGCATGCATTTCGTATGGTTGGGGAGTAGTGTAGGGACAGGTCCACCTGGTCTGGCAAGGACAGTGATTAAGCAGCAGGGAGATGGCTCCAGAACCAGTAGGAAAGGATAGGGATAATGCCCCCATTTGCGGTTTCAGACCTTCCATGCTGCATTCCGCCCCTTGAAGACAGAGAATTGTTTGGACAACAACTGAGACCCTGCTCTGCTACACCACCGCTATTACTCTTCTGTGAGTCATTCCAGTAGGAACACCTTCCCGACCAGGCTTGTTGTGAAATCTTTGGACTTAAACAATAATAAAAAGTTTCTGCATTCTAACAATTGGACTTTGAGTGTTTACTGCCGCCGCACCATGCAGAACCTCCCCACAGGCAAATAAAGGCAGTGACAAAACAGTTGCAAGTCTGCCCCCGTAGCTTGACTTGCATACTCAACCAACATAGACAACAACTGAAAAAACCCTAAAACTTTACAGGGGAGAAAGAAGATGAAGAAGAATTGCAGTAGTTGAATAGGCAACAACTTGAAAGGTTTGCCAAACTTTTGGGCCAAAAATACACCAATTAAAGTTGTATTTCTAGGAAGAGACACACACACAGTCATAGCCACAAATATTGGCAAACTAAGCATATTCTGTCCATATAAAGCACCACGTTAATCCCAAGAATGTTGTTGCAATTACAAATGTTTAGGCATTCTCCACTCATATTTATTTCTAGAGATGAGCCGAAGTATTCAAAATACTCGATACGACTGAATCGGAGCGAATTTCCGTGAAAAAAATTTGATTCGAGTTTTTTTCCGAATATATTACGCTGCGAATTTAACTTATAAAAGGGTGTTTCTAGGGCCTTCAGAGAGCCTTTATATATTAGTGCAGAACACTGTACCTTTAATTTAAATGCCCTTGGAGTCTGCTGGGAAGAGAAATAATACTGTCAGTCAGTATGACATGCAGAAGAGTGCCGTCGATCTTTAGAATCGACCGCACACTTCAGCTCATTTGGGCAGTCACGGGGCCAAAACCAGAGTGTGGAGCCACAGTGTGGCGGTGGAGGCAGCAAGCAATTGGGAGGCCATACAACAGCACCCTATGACAAAATGGAACCCACCATCAGTGTGAGGAGACCTGAAAGTGCACATGGCAGAGTGTGGCAAAGGAGACAGCAGCAATGGGAGGCCGTACAGGGACCCAAGGACTGCTGGGTGGCAGCCAGCTGCCACTGGCTCTACCAGGGGCCCCCCACCCCTTTTAGGCTGCCATGGCAGCAGCTACGCGAGCGCACAGGGCCCACAGTGTCTGAGGATGGACGTTGGCGCAGAAAGGCAGACCAACTGACTACATAGGTGGTTTTTATAGTACGTAATTTTGGCCTCCCTCTCAGCAGGTGTGAAAAAGGCCACCAGCAGAACGGTAGCGAGGGTCCAACAAGGTGGGACAGCCAAAAGTCTTCCCTCTGTCTGATGGTTATTATTCGGACTGTCGCTCAAAACGCAAGCAACCCGAGCATGCTATGGGGCCATTTGTGCCAAGGAATGCGAGGGACTCCCTGCCTCCATCTCCACAGCATACTGCCACGGTGCCGTCTGTGTCCTCTGTCATCCTCCTCCTCCTCCTCTACCAGATCTCCTGCTCCTCCACTCCTGTCCGCAAGAGTGGAAAAACCACCCATTTCACTCAATAATTCCTGAGCAGCATTTCCTCCAATGTCCTCCTACTACCCTCCTCCTCTTCTTCCCTGTCCTGCCCCACAGGGGTCATGTGGCCGCTTGAGATCTGTGCGCCACGTCTAACCGCACCCCTGACCAGCCATTGTTAACAGCATTTGTTCCAGGACGTGCAACAGAGGAATGACGTCGTTCGTTCATCCCATAGTCCTGCCGACTCACGAATAGCGTGGCCTCCTCAAAGGGCCTGAGCAAGCGGCAGGTGTCACGCATGAGCTGCCAATGGCTGACATCCTAAGTTACACAGGGGAGTAACTTTATCCGCTTGTAACATCAGGAAATCGTGATGGCCTTTCGCTGTTCGTAAAGGCGGTCTAACATATGTAGGGTTGAATTCCACCTTACGTTTGCAACGTCACAGCATGAGAGATTAGGGGCCTGGCCGCAGCAATGTGAGGCCCGTAATCTGCCAGCACCCTATGACAAAATGGAACCCAGCAGCAGTGTGAGGAGACCTGAAAGTGGCACATGGCAGAGTGTGGCGATGGAGACAGCAGCAATGGGAGGCCGTACAGGGACCCATGAGACACACTGTGGACCTGGCAGCAGCATGAGGAGGCGGTACAGGGGCCCATGGCAGATTAGGGGCCTGGCAGCAGCAATGGGAGGCCCGTAATCTGCCAGCATCCTATGACAAAATGGAACCCAGCAGCAGTGTGAGGAGACCTGAAAGTGGCACATGGCAGAGTGTGGCGATGGAGACAGCAGCAATGGGAGGCCGTACATGGACCCATGACACACTGTGGACCTGGCAGCAGCATGAGGAGGCGGTACAGGGGCCCATGGCAGATTAGGGGCCTGGCAGCAGCAATGGGAGGCCCGTAATCTGCCAGCATCCTATGACAAAATGGAACCCAGCAGCAGTGTGAGGAGACCTGAAAGTGGCACATGGCAGAGTGTGGCCTGGAGACAGCAGCAATGGGAGGCGCCGTACAGGGACCCATGCAGACACTGTGGACCTGGCAGCAGCATGAGGAGGCGGTACAGGGGCCCATGGCAGATTAGGGGCCTGGCAGCAGCTATGGGAGGCCCGTAATCTGCCAGCACCCTATGACAAAATGGAACCCAGCAGCAGTGTGAGGAGACCTGAAAGTGGCACATGGCAGAGTGTGGCGATGGAGACAGCAGCAATGGGAGGCCGTACAGGGACCCATGAGACACTGTGGACCTGGCAGCAGCGTGAGGAGGCGGTACAGGGGCCCATGGCAGATTAGGGGCCTGGCAGCAGCAATGGGAGGCCCGTAATCTGCCAGCACCCTATGACAAAATGGAACACAGCAGCAGTGTGAGGAGACCTGAAAGTGGCACATGGCAGAGTGTGGCGATGGAGACAGCAGCAATGGGAGGCGGTACAGGGACCCATGACACACTGTGGACCTGGCAGCAGCGTGAGGAGGCGGTACAGGGGCCCATGGCAGATTAGGGGCCTGGCAGCAGCTATGGGGAGGCCCGTAATCTGCCAGCACCCTATGACAAAATGGAACCCAGCAGCAGTGTGAGGAGACCTGAAAGTGGCACATGGCAGAGTGTGGCGATGGAGACAGCAGCAATGGGTGGTACAGGGACCCATGAGACACTGTGGACCTGGCAGCAGCGTGAGGAGGCGGTACAGGGGCCCATGGCAGATTAGGGGCCTGGCAGCAGCAATGGGAGGCCCCGTAATCTGCCAGCACCCTATGACAAAATGGAAACCAGCAGCAGTGTGAGGAGACCTGAAAGTGGCACATGGCATGACACACTGTGGACCTGGCAGCAGCGTGAGGAGGCGGTACGGGGGCCCATGGCAGATTAGGGGCCTGGGCAGCAGCAATGGGAGGCCCGTAATCTGCCAGCACCCTATGACAAAATGGAACACAGCAGCAGCAGTGTGAGGAGACCTGAAAGTGGCACATGGCATGACACACTGTGGACCTGGCAGCAGCGTGAGGAGGGGGTACGGGGGCCCATGGCAGATTAGGGGCCTGGCAGCAGCTATGGGAGGCCCGTAATCTGCCAGCACCCTATGACAAAATGGACACACAGCCTGCAGTGCACATGGCAGGAGACCTGAAAGTGGCACATGGCATGACACACTGTGGACCTGGCAGCAGCATGAGGAGGCGGTACGGGGGCCCATGGCAGATTAGGGGCCTGGCAGCAGCTATGGGAGGCCCGTAATCTGCCAGCACCCTATGACAAAATGGAACACACCAGCAGTGTGAGGAGACCTGAAAGTGGCACATGGCATGACACACTGGGACCTGGCACAGGGAGCGTGAGGAGGCTGTGGGTGGCAGCACATGAGGAGGCGGTACGGGGGCCCATGGCAGATTAGGGGCCTGGCAGCAGCTATGGGAGGCCCGTAATCTGCCCAGCACCCTATGACAAAATGGAACACAGCCAGCAGTGTGAGGAGACCTGAAAGTGGCACATGTTTGGGCATGATTCATCATGGAGGGCCCGATTTTAGTCAGTTGTGTCAGGGAACTGGTGGTTTGAAATCCAGACTAATCCACGCCTGATTCATTTTCACAAACGTGAGTCTCTCCACACTTTGGGTGGACAGTCGTGTCCTCCGCGGAGTTACAATACCTCCTGCCGCACTAAACACGCGCTCCGATGCCACGCTACTGGCCGGGCATGACAGCCTTTCAAGGGCAAATTCAGCTAGTTGGGGCCAAAGGTCAAGTTTCGTTGCCCAGTAGTCAAGGGGATTGTCTACCTCGGTTGGCAGGGTGCTGTCCAAGTAGGCCCAAGCCTGTTGTTTGAGCTCCTGCTCCAGGTCCACCTGATGCTGCTGCTGCTGCTGCTGGGCTGGTTAGTAGTTTCCTCACTGCGCTGGTGAAGAAAGCTACTCATCATCGACTGCAGACTGAGGCAGCCGCTGCTGGTGGAGCTGCCACTGCTCCTACCACCCACCCCACCCCTCCCCTGCTGCCATGGCAGCGGAACGCGAGCGCACAGGGCCCACAGTGTCTGAGGATGGACGTTGGCGCAGAAAGGCAGAGACCAACTGACTACATAGGTGGTTTTTATAGTACGTAATTTTGGCCTCCCTCTCAGCAGGTGTGAAAAAGGCCACCATTTTGGAACGGTAGCGAGGGTCCAACAAGGTGGACAGCCAAAAGTCATCCCTCTGTCTGATGGTTATTATTCGGGCTGTCGCTACGCAAGCAACCGAGCATGCTATGGGCCATTTGTGCCAAGGAATGCGAGGGACTCCCTGCCTCCATCTCCACAGCATACTGCCACGGTGCGTCTGGGTCCTCTGTCTCCTCCTCCTCCTCCTCTACCAGATGCTCCTGCTCCTCCACTCCTGTCCGCTGAGTGGAAAAAAACCACCCATTTCACTCAATAATTCCTGAGCAGCACAAATGTCCTCCTCTACCTCCTCCTCTTCTTCCTGTCCTGCCCCCACAGGGGTCATGTGGCGTTGAGATCTGTGCGCCACGTCTACCGCACCCTGACCAGCCATTGTTAACAGCATTTGTTCCAGGACGTGCAACAGAGGAATGACGTCGTTCATCCCATAGTCCCTGCCGACTCACGAATAGCGTGGCCTCCTCAAAGGGCCTGAGCAAGCGGCAGGTGTCACGCATGAGCTGCCAATGGCTGACATCGAAGTTACACAGGGGAGTACCTTTATCCGCTTGTAACATCAGGAAATCGGTGATGGCCTTTCGCTGCTCGTAAAGGCGGTCTAACATGTGTAGGGTTGAATTCCACCTTGTTGCAACGTCGCAGATCAGGCGATGCTGTGGAATTCCGTTCTGCCGCTGCAGCTCAAGGAGGGTGTGCTTTGCGGTGTAGGAATGGCTGAAATGCATGCAAAGTTTACGTGACATTTTAAGGATGTCTTGCAGTGGGATGGTGGATTTTAGGAACCGCTTGACAACCAGATTGAACACGTGAGCCATGCATGGCGCATGGCACAACCTTCCTTGACGCAGAGCAGACACCATGTTCTTTCCGTTGTCGGTCAACATGGTTCCGATTTTCAGTTTGCGCGGAGACAGCCATCTGTCGATTTCTCTGTTCATTACACTCAGAAGTTCCTCCCCTGTGTGACTACGTTCGCCAAGGCATACCAGGTGCAGCACAGCGTGACACCGTTGCGCCCTGCACATGTGATATGCCGGTCGGGTAATGGGACTTGGCACGGGGGTGGCGGCTGAGGACACGGCGGAAGAAGAGGTGGTAGAGGCGGACATCTTTGCTGGACCAAGGACGTGCAAACGTGGAGGCAAAAGCGTCGTGACCTGTCCAAGTTGCTGGTGCGGCTGTGCCGGCACCACGTTCACCCAGTGGGCCGTAAATGACATGTACTGTCCCTGACCGTAGTTACAGCTCCACACGTCGGCGCTGCCGTGCACTTTGGCAGAGACCGACATGCTCAAAGACTGGCCCACCATCTCTTCTACATGTGAATGCAGGGCTGGCACTGCCTTTTTGGCGAAGAAATGACGGCTTGGCACTCTCCACCGCGGCGCGGCACAAGCCATCATTTCTCGGAAAGGTGCTGAGTCCACCACTTGGAAAGGGAGGGACTGCAGCACCAGCAACTTGGACAGGAGGACGTTCAGCTTTTGCACCGTCGGGTGCGTGCTCGCAAACTGTTGTCTCTTGGAAACGGATTCCAAAAAAGACTGCTGACGGAATCCGTGAAGAGGAGTAGCAGGAGAAGGAGCATCTGAACGAGCGGAAGGAACAACTCCCCTCAGCAGAGGTGTTGGAGCCTTGACTGGCTGATAGAGGGCGATTGACGTCGGGTGACGGAGCAAGTAACGGAGCGGGTGATGGAGCGGGGGCTGGGGCAGGCAGAACCGCCGTATCTTTATCACGGTTTTCCCAGGCCACCAAATGGCGACGCTGCATATGCTGACGCAACGCTGTAGTCCCAACATGGGCCCCCTGGCCACGCTTGACTTTCTGGCCACATAGTCGACATACGGCTACGTTTACTTCCTCGGGCGGCTTGACGAAAAATTGCCACACCGCCGAGTAGGAAACTTTGCCCCCGCTACTCCTCACTGGCTGACTGCTACTTCCTCCGTGCACACCGGCACCACTACTGGCCGTGGTGGTAGGCTGCAGTGGAGCTGGTGCTCTACTCCGTGGCCGTTTGCCTCCACTGACACTGCTGCGACCCTGCTGCCTCCTGGGCAACCCACCGACTGTTTTGCTCGCTGCCAAGCTGGCACCCTCTTCTCCTGATGATGCGGAAGAAATTGCCTGATGACGACGAGGCTGCCAAGTGCGATCAACCTCCTCATCATCAATTAGGGTCTCCGCCTCACTACTAGCCCCCTCGGCTGCGTGTGGGTCAGGAGACAGACCTGTCTCTAGACCGGCTACCGAGCCACTCTCCTCGCCAGTACTTCTTCGCCTGGCTGCTGAAGAGGCGGATGTCTCCCCCCGTTCCTGACCGCCCTCTGTTAGCTCTTCCTCACTGTACAGTGGGGCTGAGCCCACAGCATGCGATACTTCGCTTGGTGAGGGAACAGCAAAGGACAGGGGCAGGTAGAGGACACGTGATTTCAGTGGGCTTGCTCCCGGGCCATGCCAACTAACGGTTGTGTCTGACGTACACACCGACCGTTGGCTGTAGGTGTCAGAGGTGACCTGGGAAGAGGAAGACGACCGAGCCAACCAATCGATGACGGCAGGGTTGTCGGTGGAGACACGACCGCTGGATGACACCGGGAGCACTGGCCTCTGGCTGCGACTAGTGCTGCCTCGACCCCTTCCTCTGCTGCCACGTCTGCTCGCTCCTAAAACATTGCCTCCTCTGCCACTCCTCTGCATGTTGTCTGACATACTCTTTAATTCAACGATTATGTGTCCCTGAGT